GTTGGTGGTGTGTGAGACGGTGGTCGGTTCAGTGTGTTGCCGTGGGGGGGGGGTGAAGGCAGAGTAATGTAATGTATCTGTGATTGAATTATTCTTCCTCCTACACTCACTCATGATTCAATTTCTTTTTCTCTCTTTTCCGCTCCTCAGTTCATGGAGCAGTTCCTGGACCGCTACAACGACCTTTCAACGCTGGGCGACCTGGAGAACCTGCTGAGCAGCCAACCTGAGGAGCAGTCCACCCTCTCCTCGGGGGTCAAGGGGGCAGAGTTTCCCAAATGGGCCGATCCACAGTCGCCGCCCGAGAGCCCCTGGCTGCGTCTGCTCAAAGGCGCCCTGGCAAATCAGAAGCGCGCCGAACCCGACCGCTCACGGAGGGGCTGGAACAGAGGGTGCTTCGGCCTGAAACTGGACCGGATCGGGTCCATGAGTGGACTTGGCTGTTAGTGGTGAAAACAGAGGGGTGCGGTCCTGAGAGGTGACATCTGTGTTAGATCATATTAGGTGAAGAGTTCTCACCCGTCTGTAGGGAACGTGTAGTTTGTCGTGAACACGCAGACGCCGCCGCTCATGTGCTTTTTCACCCGAAACCACTAAAAACACACGCCATCATTTAGCAGAGCCGCTGTAGCGTCAGTTAGCTGTACCATGTGACCTGTGCTCGTTCAACGTTAGCGTTGTTGTTACATGTTTTTGTTTTGTTTTTAAGTATTTGTACTTGATGTATTTTTAGACGTGTAGGTCTGGTCTACATCAGGTGGAGTGGACTGCAGTCCAGTTGGGATGTGGCCCAGTTTTTTTCTGCTCATTGTTTATTTTTTTTATATATCTATAATTTGCATGAATAAATGGATTTGTCATTTGCCGTATGTTTTTGTTTTTCTTACAAAATAAAAAAAAATTGTTAAGTTAGTAAGTAAGTTAAGTTAAAAATGAACAAATTAGTTAGAAATAAACAAAGTTTAACTCCGAGCTGGAAGAATCGTCCGCTCCAGCTCGGTCTGATCTCACGGCTGCTCCTGAGTTCAGGCTGACGTGACAGCAGAAGAACCGGGGGCAACATTTCTGGAAGAGTTGCCCACGGGCAGGAGTGGGAACAGGAACGGCCCGGATCACATTTGGATTTTGATGAAATTATTTTAAGGCTGAGAATCAGCTCCGACGTTCCTCGTGGTTGACTCACAAATTCAGGAGAAACCGGTGAAGAATTTTCCTGATGGTCACGTGACTATATCTGAACACGGAGAAAGAAATATCCAATCAGAATAAATAGATTTTTTTAGTTTAAGAATTCTAAATTTCACAAGGGCATTCGTGTGAGCAATTTCTCTCCTAGGGGGCGCCAGAGCACATTAAGAGTCGAAACGAGTAGGAAAAGCCAGTACGAAACTAGATGAAAACTAAACAATTTTTTAGTCATTTTTTTAATAGAAGTATTAACCTGGGTTTTTATTTTATTTTTTTGCTTTTTGGAAATGGAATCAATAATTATAGTAATGAAAATTTTAACCACACTGACCGCAAGATGATTGACGCACGAACATCCGGTTTCTGCTTCGTGTATCTATGAAGTGCTAGCACTTGTGACGTCACAAAGTGTTCATATAATTAAAACATATAAGAATCATAATTATTAATTACGCGGGAACAAAAAATGTGCAGTTAAATCAAAATAAATTATTCAGTTATTATAATAATAATTTAAAAAAGAAAGTTATGTTGTTATTTTATATTTCAACACTAGATGGCAGTGCTCTGTTTTTGCCCAGTTGTGTGCTAACACATGTAAATGTCAAAGTTGTCCGGACTTTGCGGTGAAGTTTTAACTCTACAACCCGTGAAATCATCACCCGGACACGGACACGGACCAGCTGTAGACCGGACCACTGGACGTGTGGTCCGTGGGCAGCGGCGTCTACGGCCGACAGAGGACGAGGAGGAGGACGTGGCCCAGCCGGACTCACCAGCCAGCGTCTAAACTTAGCCTGACCTTTACTTCCCCTCGCTGACCTTAAGCTGCGGAGCAGAGGCCAGGCTGCTGGTAGTTCAGCTATGTCTCCGCCGTTGGACCGCGGCCACAGCACACGGCGGCACCGACCATTGTGACACCGGTTCGTACAGGTCACGTGACTGGGAGGTCGGTAGGTGCACAATGGTCTGCTGTGGTGACAGACCACAGACTCTGTCAGTACTGGTCGGTCAGGAGGCACCGGAACTTCTCCCTCTGAGTGAAGTACTAATGTCACAGCACGGAGTAATAATATGTGTTAGAGTAGCTGTAAATACATGTGGTTATGAAATGTCCTGGACCTGCTGTGGGTCATTGAACGTCTCATTTAAGAAAATTCTTCACTTCTTTGTACCAAGTGTTTCCAAGCACTGGGTCGAGACCCACAGGTGGGCGACCAGTGAGGCGTTACTTTATGAAATATTTTTAATAAATTGCTGCTTAACTAAAGTAAAAATGATATGAAATATAAATATTATTAGTCCTGCTGTGCGCCCTGGGATAGCTCCACACGACACTAGGGGGCCCCGTGCTCCACTTTTCAAAATGTATTTAGTTGTTACTAATCTATTTTTTAGAATTGTGGTGAATAAAAAAAATACATAAAACGTTTTTTTAAAATTTTATCACAAAGAAGTAAAGATTTATTTATTTTTAAAAAATGGTCCAATAAAAAATAGACAAACACTGATTTATCTTCTTTTTCTTCTTTTTAAATCAAATTAAATTTGCTCTTTTTATTTTAACCTTTACATTTTTTTTACCACAGATTTTGTTATGAGACTTGAATTTAATTTAAATGAAAGTTAAAATCCCAGCGCATCATTAGCTTCATGACACAGCTATCGCTCAGACGCGTCGGTTAACGTGACGACCCCTGAGTGACCGACGCGTCGAGCATCGATGACGAGGAACTTCCTTCATCTTTGGTTTTTAAAATCCAGGTTTTTTTCACTGAGAAGGTCGTGAATGATAAAGGAGAGGGAGAAAATAGAAGGTGCTGTCTCTGCAGCCGTCTCATGAGTGATGGGGGGGGGGGGTCAGTTGGTGGGGGTCAGGGATGGAGAGGCAGAGATGAGAGGAGAGGCTCTGAAAGTGAAGGGTCGTGGTCTTTGGACATTAAATGTCAGAGTCAGAAGACGGAGATTTGATCCCCGCGTCCTTCCCTCGCTCTGTGTCTCTGTGTTTACTGAGAAGGTCACTGAAGCCCCCCCTCTTTATCAGCCCCCCCCCGCGCCCCCCCAGGAGAAGCTCAGCCTCAGACACGCAGCCGTCCTCCCTGTGATAATGTGCGGTCTATAATAAGCAGCAGAGGAGCTGAGATAATGGTGAAGTCTCTGCAGCCTGACGACCTTGACATTCAGAGGGGGAGGGCGGGGGAGTGGACACACCGCCGAGGGGGCGTGGCCTAACCTCTGCTCAATCATAAAAAGTCACAGCTAAACTTTGCTCGTCCCCACTCACACCCGGAGTCGCAAGACAGACTGAGGCTTCTCACAAACGGTAACTTTTCAACATGAGTCCAACATGATTGTTTTATATGTAAATATATGTGTAAATATATGTGTGTGTGTGGGTGTGAGGACCAGGAGGACCAGGCTGCTGATGGTCATTACCTTATGACCTAGTCATTACCTAGTTATTACCTAGTTATTACCGGTCTGCCTGGAGGTGATTGAGCTGAAAGTCGTTTGTTGTTTGAATGGATTCAGTTCAGAAGTGGAAAAGTTTCAGTTCTTGACTTTTGTTGCTGATTTTAACGGACGGGTGGTCAACAGACGGTCTTAGACTGAGGTCAGAAACCTCCGACTGCTGCTGCTTCTTGACCCTCTGACAGATTTTTGACGACAACTGACTTTTAAAGTGTTTCATCGTAATCGTTTATAATTATTATTTTCATCAATTCCTGAACCTGGTTCTGTTTTTTTTTACTGTTGTTCTGCAGAGGACTAGAATTACCACGGCAACATGGTGAAAGTTGGAATCAATGGGTAAGACAACTCTCCGATCTCACCCCCCACCCCCTCGACCCCCC